GAAAGGTAGCAGTCGTACGCCAATTACCATGTTTCTCTTTTATTAGTGTAGAGGATGGGAGATGGTGATGTAACCATAAAATGACGTGTCAAGTCCAACGTAACCCAAGGACTGTCTGTAATTGGTTTTTGCAGCAGTGCAATATGAGGCAAGCAATGGAGAAGGTTATCTGTAACTTGCAAGTGATTCAGAAAGAAATAGAAAATATATATCTGTCCAGATAGATAGGTAAAGCAGTACAACAAGATGATAAGATGTTAGTAATATTGAATCCAGGTAGTTGGGTGTATGGATAATCATTTTACTGTTTTTACTGTTTGGTTCTTCATTGGCTGTTGATATATATCTATATCTATATATCTATGTATCTATATATATCTATATCTATCAATATGTATATATACACACACATATATTAAAGGGATAAATGCAACAATTGCAATAATGCATTTATAAATTAAAGTTGCAGTTGTCATTTAAACATTTTTAAAGTAATTGTCCATTTCCAGACTGTTTTGGAAATAAAAATTTGACTAAAAGTAAGAACAGATTTTTTATTTTGTATTTTGATTTTTTTACAGAGAGGAAGGGAGAGGGATAGAGAATTAGAAACATCGATGAGAGAGAAACATCGATCAGCTGCCTCCTGCACACCTCCTACTGGGGATGTGCCTGCAACCAAGGTACATGCCCTTGACTGGAATCGACCCTGGGACCTTTCAGGCCACAGGCTGACGCTCTATCCACTGAGCCAAACCGGTTAGGGCCTTTTTTAAAAAAATTTTTAATTTTTTTTAAAGAACAGATTTTTTATTAACATGTCTTTTTTATTTAAATGACCTTTTTCCAGTATCAGCTCAGATTTAGTTTTTCCCCATCAATAGTTTGGGATACATATGTTCTGTTTTAGTAATTTTTTAGGAAGGCATTAATTAGAGAGAATCTTTATTTTCTTTAGAAAAGAAAACAAGCATGGTTTTTCATTAACCAAATTGAATTATAGCTTTTGAGAGGCTTCTGTGGCAAATTCTCTTTTAACTTCAAAAATCCTATAATTCTGTGAATATTTTAGTTTAAATTAGGGTGTGTATTTATTTTTTTAAATGCTGGTTGGTCTTAGAAGTTGCATTTTTCCCTTGTGGCTGGAGCATGTGCTTCCTGCTTACTTGCCTATCTTTAGTGCACATATGGCCCAAACCAGCGTCCAAACCTTGATGTTTCTAATTATTGGATAATTTGGCTTGCATAGTTCTGGGTTACACTAATACCTTCTTAAACACAAGATACATGGCCTTTAGTATCAGTTTTTTGTCTATTAATTTTATAATTACAGACTCTTGGAATAAGAATGCAAAATAAGACATTCATTCTTATGTCTTTAATGAGAATAACATTATTTTCATTGTATCAATATCAATTTTTATTTTGATTTACCTTTATTTGTTCAATCCCATTTTGTGAGAATAAGAGTTTTTCTTAAAGATTAAGAAATTAGATTAATCAAATTATAAACACAAATTTCCGGAATTCATTGTCTTTTGTATAAAACATTAGGCCTTGGAGAGTTTTTTGTACTATAATAGTTGACTGACCCAATTAATCCATTTAATAGCTCTAAAAAGCACAAAGAACTTTAATTGCCACATTAATTGCATTTGAAACCCTTCTCCCCATTCTTAATGAAGATATATGAATTGATGCTTAGTTGTAGACATTTATGTCTTGAAAAATATGCATTATTAAAGATTCTAATAACTTTTTGTTGTCCCAGAGGAAGAAACGTGTATCAACATAATAATGGTTAAAGTTAAGAATAGAGTGTGGAAAATGTGATGGAGCATAGGTTCCCTAGACTGTTCAAGGGAGGGTGGCAGTTTTCTCCAGGGAGGAAATGTACTATTATAGAGGAATGCTTGGTTGTGAGGGGGAAGGGAGTTATTGCCAGAAAACTTCAGGCTGACCTCTTTTACCCCGTTTTGTCAGAAATATCAGGCATTTGGAAAGACTGAAAGAAAATATGTCAAAATGTTAACATAGGTTCCAGCAGGACAGTGAGAGCATAAGTCATTTTTTTTAAATCCTCACCTGAGGAAATATTTTTTTGATTTTAGAGAGAGAGGAAGAGGGGGGATGTTGATCAGTTATCTCCCATCTACACCCCGACCAGGGACTGAACCAGCAGCCTAGGTATTGTCCTGACTGATAATCAAACCCGAAACCTTTTGGTGTACAGGACGACGCTGCAACCAACTGAGCCACCTGGTCAGGCCTTTTCTTTTCTTAATTAAAAGAAAAAAAAGTTATTTCAAAATTTTAACTTGGGGGAGTCACTCCACTATAAATTTCACCTTCACCTTTAAGTAGGAAAAAATAGGCTTTTTATATTTATATTTTAAATAAAACCTTCCATTGTTATTGAAGTTTTAATTATAACACATTTTGTGTCTCTGTTCTTTAGACCTTTCCTCTAAGAAACTTTTTCAGAAATCCCTAGGCCCAAATCAGACTCTTGTCTGCCTGATAGTTTACTTTTTGCTAAGCCTCTGCTTATTGGGACCATATGTTATCCTGAGCTATGTATCATTGCTCATGATCAGCTGGATTTTCTGCCCTCATGTGACCTTTATGTTAGACTAGAGCATTGATGTTCAGTTTGGCATGCCACAAGAATTTTTAAAATACGCAATACCTGCCTGGCCGGTGTGGTTCAGTGGTTGAGCATCGACCGTGAACCAGGAGGTCAGGGTTCGATTCTGGTTAAGGGCCCATGCCTGGATTATGGGCTCAATCCCCAGTAGGGGAGCATGTAGGAAGCAGCCAATCAATGATTCCCTCTCATCATTGATGTTTCTATCTCTCCCTCTCCCTTCCTCTCTGAAATCAATAAAAATATATATTTTTTAAAAATGCAATACCTGACTATTTAGTCAGGGCACTGACCTCTCTTCCCTTAGATTGTCAAATTAAAAAATGACAACAGCCAACACAATAGTTGTCTACTGTGAATAATCAAAATTTTGCCACCCTGGCCTGTGTGATTCAGTTGGTTGGGCATTATCCTGTGAACGGAAGGGTTGCCAGAAGAGTTGCCGGTTAGATTCCTTGGTCAGAGCACATGTCTGAGTTGTGGGCTCCATTCTTGGTAGGGGACATGTGGGAGGCTGCTGATTGATGTTTTCCTCTCACATTGATGTTTCTCTTTTCCTCTTCCTTCCTCTCTCTCTAATAATCAATTTTTTAAAATCTTTAAAAGATTGTGCCATTTTTTTCAGATTAGCAAAATATATATATATTTGGTGTGCCACAGGATTTTAGTAATTAGTTTATGTGTGCCATTAGATGAAGAGGGTTGAAAATCACTGCTCTAGAATAGTAACACACCCCTCCTGATTATCTGTATAGCCAATTTATGAATTTTTCTGGGCCCATAATGCTGTTCAGCAACATTTTTTCTTTTCTCTAATTTGATATTTGGCAAACTGACACTCTGAAAATGTTAATAAGTGGCATCAAAAAAGTTTTCTGTGCTATGAGAAATCAGTCTACTTAGATCCCTTTATAGGAGATTAATAATGAATATTAGCATTTTAAAGTATTCATGAAGTCCTGCAGTGAAGAATTCTCTTTATCATTTCCTTATTTATTTGTATATGGAACTTTTTCTCTTGAGGGATAGATAATAACAACTCATAAAACAGTGTTTAATAGAACACAAGTTTGAGAAACATATTTATACTAGAGGCCTGGTGCACGAAATTCATGCACAGGGGGCGGGGTGCCCTCAGCCCAGCCTGCAACAATGCCCGAGCCCCCTCCCCTCCCTGCCCTCCACATGGCTGGGGCCCCTCCCCTCTCCTCCATGCAGCCGGGGTGCTAGCCCAGCATCCCTAGCCCTAGCCTCCGACCCAAGGCCCCTTCCCTCCTTCCGCATGGCCAGGGTGACGCCACCAGTGTCCTGCCCTGGCCACTATGGGTGCCGCCATATTTGTTGCAGAGTGATGGTTAATTTACATATTACACTTTTATTAGATAGGATACCTTTTTTCTCTGTTCTTCAGAGTGGCTGTTTCAGACCTCTACAATTTCAGTCCAAGCCTCCAACCCCATCTCAAGCCTTTTTGTTTTCAGACCTAATCACTATTTCACTGAGAAAATGTAGGCTGTCTTGATTTATGAGTGCCCTTCCATCCTTTCCTCTTGTCTAGACTTTGTTCTACCATCAGACTGTAACCTGGATGAAGTCAGAGAGCATAACATTTATTCATTATTATATCCCTAGTCCCAAATACAACCCACATCCTATATTCTGGGTATACAGCAACTGGTATACAGCAATTCAATTCTGCACTGACCACCATATTTAGAACAGACCATACAAGTTGAAGAGCATGAGCCTTAACAAGACTGCCCTTACTTCAGACACCAGCCACACTTTGGGGGTCCTCAGGCCACCCACACTTCCGACCAGCTGGCTATAAATCCAGATTTACCATGACACCCTCAGAATGAATAATTCACTGCAATGATTTGTAGATCTTGGGGAAGTACTATAATTATGATTACAGTTTTATTATAAAGGATACAAATCAGGAGGACCAGTCAAAAGAAGAAACATACATGGTCAGGTCTGGGAGGAAATGCAGAGCTTCTGTGTCCTTTCCTCATGGAATCAATGTGCATCATCCTCCTGGCACATCAGGGTCTTCACCAGCCAGGAGAGGTTCACTGAGCTTTGGTATCTAGAGATTTTATTAGGATTCTGTCCCATAGATGATTAATTGAATTATTGGCCATGTGGTTGAACTCAATCTTCATTTCCCCTGCCTGCTAGAGGTTGAGAGATCGAGGTGATATCCTGAGGATCAAAGCAACTCTCTTATCACGTGGGTGACCTTTCTGTACCTGATGATATCTAGGTGAGACCTTGGGTCACTTCATAAACATAACAGAGCATCCCTATTACTCAGGAAATTCCAGGGGTTTAGAGTTTCCCCAGAACCATGGACAAAGGCCAGTCTAAAAAATTGGAAAAATCTTCCTTTGATCCTGTATCCTCCTATAACTACCACTTTCTGTTTCCCTTCCATTACTGCTAGACTTCTCTAGAGCTAACTTTATTTGCTATAAACAAATACTTCCTCATCTCTGGTTTACTTCTCAATATCATTCACTTCTACCAGCTTCACAGAAAGTACATTGTGGTCACTAAGTGGCCTCGTAATTAGTAAACCCATTTCTTTTTTTGTCTTCAACCTAACCTGACTGTTCTGGTGTATGGCACTAGCTACTCCCTCTTCTGTGATGCCACTTTCTTGCTACCTTTCTGACCATTCCATTTCAATCTCTGTCTTTGTTTCTTCCATGTCTCAGATATTGCTGTTCTTTAGAATTTGATGCTGTGTTCGCTTCTCACTAGAAACTCTCCTTAGGCAATGTCACTGATTTCCATATACCTTCTTTATGCTGATGTTTCCAAATTTGGATCTTTAGACTTGGCTTTACCTGCAATCCAGACTGGATTTCTGACTTTACTGGAATTTCTATCTGGATGTCCTGTAGGAACCCTAAATTTAACATGTCCAAAACAAAATTCACTCTTTTTTTCTTTTTAATTTAACTTTATATTATAAGTGTAGTATTAGAATATAGTCCATAGGGCAATTGTAAGCATTGAATAAGATAATGCATAAAGCAAACTTAGTAAAATTCTGGCACATGGAAAGTACACAGTGCATTAGCTATTATTACATGACAGTCTCTCCTATGAGACTACAAGCTTTTTGAGGGCAAGAACCAACCGTGCATTGTCCTTGGCTTCTACTAGATACACAGTAAAGTTTTGTTGAATTAAAATGAATAATAATAATATGTTGAATAAATTGTTTGTTGTAACCATTCAATTTAGCTTAATTATCTTGTTTATTTAAAGTGGGCAACTTTGGGTATTTGTTTTTTCTTCCTAGGTGCATTGTGTTGTGATCATTCCAAGGATAACCAAATGTGCCATGATGTATGTGAACAGGTAAGCGTACATAATAATTCTAGAGGGTATTAGTTATGTAATTGTTTATACTTACATAACTGGATGCAATGCATGATCCTGGATTGGATCCTGGAATTAAAAGATTGCTATAAAAAGAACATTATTGGGATAAATTGGTGAAATTTGAATATAGACTATAATAATTTTGGATCAGTGCTTGCTCTGATCCAGAATTTGGTGATTGTATTGTGGCCAGGTAGGTGGAGCCGCCTTTCCACCTTGTTCTTAAGAGATGCATGCTGGAATTTAGGAATGAATATTGTGTCTGCAATGAATTCTAAAATGTTTCATCAAAATAATAGTAATATATGTATTTATGCAGAAAGTTAAACCATATGTTGCAAAATAGTGGGCCAATCTACATGAAGACTGGATGTTCACTGTACAACTTTTGAAACTTTTCTGTAGGTTTTAATTTTTCTTGTTGAGCCTTTTCAGACGAGTTTTACTGAGACAATACCTAAAGTCTTAAAGTCTTCCCTTTCTTTCATCATCTTGGTTGTGTAGTTTTAGCCTTAGTGCTTGAGAAGTAATGGCCTCTATCACCTTTTGGAGTTCTCAAGTAATTACCTGGATTTTGTCACTGCCTAAAACCAAGAAAGCTATCTAACTGGGATTAAAAGTACTCTCAAGCAATATTATGAATTTAGAAAGATTTTTGCAAAATACTTTCTAATTATAAAAGAAGACAGTGACTTGGCTTGCCTCAGAATTCATGTCGAAACACTATAGCAGATTAAGTTTTCTACAAATTTATTGCCGGAAAAATAGCTTTTAAAAGCAAAAATGGCCCTTTGATGCTGTCACCATAAGGGAGTTTTTAAAAGCTCTGCTACTTTTGGAAACATTGCTTTCCTGACTTTTTGCTTTGTTTCTTCTTATTTTTTTCCACTAAGTGTTCTAATAGGGTGAATGATTTTTATGAGCCACTTGCAACAGGCAAATTCTAATTTCTTAAACTCAGAAATGTTGGAAATTCTATCACTTAGTAAATTAAATGAATACTGTAGTTACCCTAATATAGAACATTCTTCCCTGACCTAGTTTCACTTTAATTGAGAAATTAGGCAAAGAAATAAGGCAAATTGGACGCTAGATATTGCTCTTATTAGTGGTTACACAAGTGTTGAATGTAACATTTATCTCCAGGTACACACTAAACTGCAGAATTAGATTTATTCCCAGATGAGGAGAGAAGTAAGGTCTGGGTTATATATGTTCACTTTCTCCTACCAAACTTAGCAGTCGGGTAAGTCATTCAGCTAGTCAGTCTTCACAGTCACTTGGAGGCGTGAGTGAGTGAGCCATGTGGAGAGAAGCCAGGCTGCTAAAACTAGCAGAGCTCACTCAAAATGAAAGGAAATACCCGGAGTAAGGAATAATTATTTCTTCAGTAGAGAATAAAGAAAGTATGGAGTCTTGATGACATTTAGGTTTTAAGTTGGAATGAATAGTAGTATCCCTGATGGTTAAGGGAGGTTGGGAAAATTTTCATTTGGGGGCGGGGAGGGGAGGAGAAGGTAAGTTGCTGAATCATCAGTGAAAACCATTGTGTGAAGACATTTGGAAATTTGGAATTAAAACTTTAGAATTTGAATTTAGATAAGTTAGGACTGGTGTTTTATAATAGTCAACGAAAGAAGGTATCAGATGTCAAGGAGTTTGTGATCTGAGAAAAGGCCCTTAATTTTTAAAAGAAAAATTAGGAGAGATACTCTAGAGAAGGAATTTTATTTGCTTTGTTTATGCTGAATCCCTCACTCACTGCTTAGACTAGTGCCTTACATGAAAACGCTCAATAAATATTTCTAGATTGACTGACTGGGGTGGTGGGGTTCAAAAGTCATAGTGCAGAGATTTAAAACCTTTTTTTACATTTAAATTTATTATGTTATATTTGAAGTTTGCAAAAATGTATTGTTTATACCGTATTTGCCGGCGTATAAGACGACTGGGCGTATAAGACGACCCCCTAACATTTCCACTCAAAATACAGAGTTTGTTATATACTCGCCGTATAAGACTACGTATATATATATATACTAGCGGCCTGCTGCCCGAAGATTCGTGCAAGATAGGCCTTCCTTTCCCTGGCTGCTGGCACTGCCTTTGCTCTGGCCAGAGCCACCTTTCTGCCTTTGCTCCGGCCTGAAGCCGCCTTTCCACCTTCCCACACTGCCCAGAGGCCTGGAGAGGCTGGGGCAGGGCGGGACACAGGCATCCTGCCCCACTCCCAGCTGCTCAGTGGGTGCGCACTGCTCACAAGCCCGCCATCTTTGTTGGGTTAATTTGCATGCTCACTCCTCATTAGCTGGTGGGCACCGTGAAGGAATGGTCAATTTACATCTTTCTTTTTTATTAGTGTAGATATCAATATCTTTCCAGCTGTTATAAATTCTTTGATTATAGAGATTGTAATCTGTTTTATTCATCTTTGTTGTACTCATATCATACCATTGCTTAAGGAAGTTGGTCAATGAATGTGTACAAGTTGTTTGGTGAAGACATGGATGCAATGAAAGGAAAATGTAGGATATTATTTGGGGAAGTCAGTAAGTCAGTGCAGGAAATTAAGATTTGTTTCAAAAAGAGAGTCTTTGCTTGTTTGAAGACAAAACTAAATAAGTTATGTCAGAAAGAAGAGATAAGTATGAGTTAAAAACCTCTCAAGATCAGGAGTGTAAGCTCTGCGATCTGATTATTTCTACCTTGAATGGGGTACAGTTTTGGTTATTAAATTTTTTGCTCTTAGATGATTTGTGTAATCATAGTACATATTCTGATATACTGGATAAGTATGTATCTTTCTTAAGTGTGATTATCAGTTTAGTGAGAAAAGTAACTGCTTCTGTTCAAGTCTTTCTTATCTAAAAATGTACATGCTGCCTCTGTAAGCTAAATTAGTTATTTAACTTATTTATATTCCTAATATTATTATTAGTTATTTACATTTCTAAGAAGTTATCTCAGTTATTTATATTCCTAATAACTATCTTTCTTGGTTAATTTAATCTGCTTTATAGAATTATAATTTTGGAGGCAGAGTGACCTGATGGACTATCTAACTTTTTTTTTATTAATCCTCACCAAAGAATATGTTTTTTATTGATTTTAGAGAGTGGAAGGGAGAGAGAGAAACCCCCATTGGCTGTGAACCAGGAATCA